TATTTGTTTTATTCTTCTACTCTGCAGTTCTCAACTTCGGTTGGATCCAAGACTGCCTTGCTCAGTGGCTGAGGCAGTCCCAGGTATAGCATCCAGAAAAAAAGATATTGAGAGAATTGACAGAAGCTTTCTCTTCCTTGTACTTTTTTTTTCAGAAGCAAGAAAACTTCTCTTAGAGCACTCCTGGCAAACTTCCAGCCAATGCTTTTGCTGCACTTGTGTGTGTGTGTGTGCATGCTAAATCTCTTCAGTTGTGCCTGACTATTTGTGACCCCATGGACTGTAGCCTGCCAGGCTCCTCTGTCCATGGGATTCTCCAGGCAAGAACACTGCAGTAGGTAGCGACCTCCTTCTCAAAGGGAGCTTCACAACCCAGGAATCGAACCCACGTCTCTTTCATCTCCTGCATTGGCAGGCGGGTTCTTTACCACTACAGCCACCTGGGAAGCCCTACTTGAGTGTATGCCTATTCCTAAAGCAATGTCTGGCTTAAACCAGTCCTGCTGGGGCCCACCATACTGGTCACCACAAAGAGAAAACAGTCATTTTCCAAGCTCCGTTACTGAAACGAATGCCATGTCTCCACCCAGAAACCAAACTTTTACTAGCCTGTGGAAATAAAAATCTCTAAAAGAATAGAAACCAGACATTTCAAAAAGGTGGGTCTGCATTTTCTTCTGACTGATGATAAACTGTCTTTCTCTCCCAGGGAGTCACCTTGTTTTCCAGAAAAATAATGTTTCCTGAAAACTGTGAAACATGAATTTGCTAACCTAATATTATTTTAAATGCTACAGAGCAGTTTGCTATTGAGAACTATTTGGTGAAAATTGTTTTAATTAAAAATGACCAGAATTTCAGAATAAATGATGGGTCGAATGTACAGATTGCTCCCCTCCATCTCCAAACATCACTTGAAAAATCACAAGTTAAACAAAGTTATAACCTCATAATGCTTCCCTGGTGGCTCAGAGGGTAAAGCGTCTGCCTACAATGCTGGAGACCAGAGTTCAATCCCCAGGTCAGGAAGATCCCCTGGAGAAGGAAATGGCAACCCACTCCAGTACTCTTGCCTGGAAAATCCCATGGACGGAGAAGCCTGGTAGGCTACAGTCCATGGGGTCGCAAAGAGTCGGATATGACTGAGTGACTTTGCTTTCCCTTTCTAACTTCATAAGGACAAACAGTATGGTAAAGGAGTCATCAACAACAATATTTCAGAGTCTGGAAACCTGATAAATGATATTGGGCATAGCAGACCCTAGGAAGTTGAATTATAAAGCAGCCTATGGGAGGCCAAGAGATATTCTGATTTGATATCAAAAACTCTCAAAAGGCTTAAGAATTGGTGACTCCTGGTACCACTGGAAGTGGGGGTAACAGAGAGCTAAAATGTGAGGATTGGTTAAAACCTGTATAAGGGATGGTTAGATCCCTTATGGTTAGATTCCTTTGCTTCACACAGTAAGGACTTCCCTGTGCAGAAAACTGGGACTGATTCTCAATAAATGGTAAAAGAGAGAGTCTGCAATGAAGGTCCATACTAAGGACAGAGGTATCATATATAAAACAGAGCTATTAAATGGACGCTTACATGCAATCTGTTAAGATCATTAACTCTCTTCTCCTATCCAGTATCTTGAAAGCTGGAAATTCGATTATATGGTCCAGGAAGGAGAAGAGTATTATTCACTGGGGCAACTCACTAGCTCAAGAGAAAAGATAAGAAGATATTGACATTAGGGGTCCCTAGCCAGATCACTGTGTACTGAAAATCACAGTGGACAGGGCCCTTTCCCCATGAAGCTTCCAATCTGCTGTTAAGGCCCCACTTTTAAGTATATATAAACAGCAGTGATCACCAGACATGGGCGGAAAGTCTCTAATGTAAAAGAGGCCAGAACAAACAGAAAGAAAAAAGAAACTTGGATGGCAGAAACTATGCAAAAAGAATAAAACTTTAAAGAATCTATCATAATAACCTTGCAGAGATAAGACACTGCATTCTGTGAAACAGGATATTGTGAGAACAGGATAAAACCCACTGCAAATTAAAAATATGAAAACAGAAATGAAAAACTCAATAGAAAGATTAGAAAATTAAGGTGAAAAAATACCCCAAAAAGTAGAGTGAAAAAATGAAGCATGAAAAAATAAGGAAGAAATTCTTAAGAAAAAAGTTAAGGAAAAATTGTGGAGATTCAATATCTAAATAACAGGAGTTCCAGAAAGAAAATGGAAGAGAAAAAATTATCAAATAAACAGTTTAAGAAAATTTTCCTAGAAATGAAAGAAATTTCTAAATGAAAAATGCCCACTAAATGCCCAGTAAAATGGGTATTTAATCTCTCTCTGGATGTGTACCTTGTCTCTCCATTCAGACTGGTTTGTTGCCATGGTTCAGTTGCTCAGTCATGTCTGACTCTTTGCAACCCCATGGACTGCAGCACACCAGGCTTCCCTGTCCTTCACTCTCTCCTGGAACTTGCTCAAACTCATGTCCATTGAGTCAGTGATGTCATTCAACCATTTTGTCCTCTGTTGTCCCCTTCTCCTTCTCCTTCTCCTTCTGCCTTCTGTCTTTGCCAGGACCAGGGTCTTTTCTAATGAGTTAGCTCTTCACATCAAGTGGCCAAAATATTGGAACTTCAGCTTCAGCATAAGTCCTTCCAATGAATATTCAGGACTGATTTCCTTTAGGATTGACTGGTTTGATCTCCTTGCAGTACAAGGGACTCTCAAGAGTCTTCTCCAGCACCACAGTTCAAAAGCATCAATTCTTCGGCACTCAGCCTTCTTTACAGTCCAGTTCTCACATCCACACATGACTACTGGAAAAACCACAGGCCTTTGTCGGGAGAGTAAAGTCTCGGCTTTTTAATATGTTGTCCAGGTTTGTCATAGCTTTTCTTCCAAGGAGCAAGTGTCTTTTAATTTCATGGCTACAGTCACCATCTGCAGTGATTTTGGAGCCCAAGAAAATAAAGTCTGTTGCTGTTTCCATTGTTTCCCCAACTATTTGCCATGAAGTGATGGGACTGGATGCCATGATCTTAGTTTTTTGAGTGTTGAGTTTTAATCCTTTAATTCATTATGTAAGACTCTCATTATGTAAGCTAAGGATCCTCTCCTCCAGGAATCCTTCCCTGACTATACTTCCACCCTGGGAGGATGAAGGGCCACCCTTCTGGCCTTCCACTCCTTCTTTTGGTGAAGGATCCCACCCGTTTGGCCTTGAGAATAGGGAAGTAATACGCATTGGACCCCAGTGGTGCAGTGTTAAAGAATCCTCCTGCCAATTCAGGAGACGCAGTTTTGATTTCCTGGGCTAGGAAGATCCTCTGGAGTTGGAAATGACAACAAACTCCAGTAGTCTTTCCTGGAAAATTCAATGGACAGAAGAGCCTGGCTGGCTACAGTCCTTGGGATCACAAAGAGTTGACAAGACTGAACTTTTAAGCATGCATGCACATAAGTGGACCAATCAAAACATCCCAGATTACCCCAAGCAAGCCAATAAGAATCCTCCCCTGGAGTTTTTCTAATTGAAACTGATAGAGGATAGTCCCTTAATTCCCTAAAAGTTAGCTTTCAGGGACCAGGATCCCAAATAGTGGGGATAATGTCATTTGAAAGAAGTAAATCAACATCCAGAGAGAAGCAGAAATAAGCGTTGTGGATAGAGACAGAGAATAGCATTTCCCGTCAGCTGCAGCAGGGAAAAAAAAAAAAAATGCTGTTTGTGGCGTAAATGTTTTTAAAAATAATAAAGTAGACATAACTAAGAGACATTTTCAGCAAATGTATACTGAATTTGAAACATTTCCTGTCAGTAATCAAAAAAACAGAATCAATGAAATTAGTCTCTTGAAATTAAATATTCAGTTGAAAGTTTAAACTATATTTAATAGTATCTGAGCCAGTAACTTGGATTAACTATAAAATGGTTTGGATTTTTTGCAAACATATACACAAATATTTTAGATGAATGATGGTAAAAATTTTTTTCACTGTTTAAATTATGGAAATTATGAAGAAAAAAGATACCAATTGTGAGAGATCTTCAGTAAAGCTGCCACACCATCATTCATAGAATTCAAAACTTTTTCATAACATCAAAAATCAATTGATTCAATATTTTAAAATTGCAAGTCCTTTCCTTTAGCTTTGGATGAGTCACATAATATAAAAGATTCTACTCAATTAATGTATATATAATTTACCGAAAAAGATGTCCAAAATTATGAAGAAATGTCTATTTATGGCCAACAAAATTGAACTCTTGGCATAGACATTTTTGGATCATTGATATCTGTCAAATAAGAATTTCCATTAGAAATGAAAAAATAGTTTCTAACATGCTGGATAGTGCTTCAATTACATTAAGAATTAAAAATCCAGATTTTATTAGAATTCTAAAATAAGAGGCTGATGTTCTCCTCTGTGAAAGTATTTTTTTATTAGCTTTTGAAGAAGAATTATGTCAAGTGTCAAGAATATAATTGTTTTAACCTTTCAGTATACATATAGAAATTATTGCCACTTTATAGAAATGCTGAAAACAAAGGCAATAAGTTCAGTAATCTTGGGTTTCTTTTTTTTTTAACCAATGCTTGTGGGTTCAATGGAAATTTCTTTTTACAAAGATTTGTTCTAATTCAAGATTTTCTTGAAATGATAATGTGTGTGTGTTAGTCATTCAGTCACATCTGACTCTTTGTGACCCCAAAGAAGCCTGCCAGGCTTCTCTGACCATGGGATCTTCAAGGCAAGAATACTGGAGAGGGTTGCCATTTCCTGCTCCAAGAAATGAGAATAATGCTTGCTAGATACTAAATAATCAAAGACAAAATACTACCCTATCATACTGGACATGAATGAGCAAAATTTGAAGTTCTTAGGACAGAAAAGCATGTTTTTTTTTTGCGTGTGTGTGTGTGTGACTTAGCTAAATAAGTATGAGAGTTTACGATAAAACTGAAGCTATTTATAATAAAAAATCAACCATAATGTTTTGTCCATTTTCTAACATGAATTGATATGTAGAAGATTTTAATTGTAATAGCATCCTTTAAATTTGCTGCTAAGCTTAATTCCAGAAAAATAAACAACCCAATCAAAAAATGGGCCAAAGAACTAAACAGACATTTCTCCAAAGAAGACATACAGATGGCTAACAAACACTTGAAAAGATGTTCAACATCACTCATTATCAGAGAAATGCAAATCAAAACCACAATGAGGTACCATCTCCTGTCAGTCAGAATGGCTGCTATCAAAAAGTCTACAAACAGTAAATGCTGGAGAAGGTGTGGAGAAAAGGGAACCCTCTTACACTGTTGGTGGGAATGCAAACTAGTACAGCCACTATGGAGAACAGTGTGAAGATTCCTTAAAAAACTGGAAATAGAATTGCCATATGGCTCAGCAATCCCACTGCTGGGCATGCACACCAAGGAAACCAGAATTGAAAGAGACACATGTACCCCAATATTCATCACAGCACTGTTTGTGATAGCCAGGACATGGAAGCAACCTAGATGTCCATCGGCAGACGAATGGATAAGAAAGCTGTGGTACATATACGCAGTGGAATATTACTCAGCCATTAAAAAGAATGCATTTGAATCAGTTCTAATGGGGTGGATGAAACTGGAGCCTATTATACAGAGCAAAGTAAATCAGAAAGAAAAACACCAATACAGTATATTAACGCATATATATGGAGTTTAGAAAGATGGTAACAGTGACCTTATACGTGAGACAGCAAAAGAGACACAGATGTAAAGAACAGACTTTTGGACTCTGTGGGAGAAGGTGAGGGTGGGATGATTTGAGAGAATAGCATTGAAACATGTATATTATCATATGTGAAACAGATCCCAGTCCAGGTTCGATGCATGAGACAGGGTGCTCAGGGCTGGTGCACTGGGATGACCCAGAGGGATGGGATGGGGAGGGAGGTGGGAGAGGGGTTCAGGATGAAGAATACATGTACACCCATGGCTGATTCATGTGAATGTATGGCAAAAACCACCACAATATTGTAAAGTAATTAGCCTTCAATTAAAATAAATTTTAAAAATTTGCTGCTAAAGTACAAGAAAATTTGAAGAATACTTTGTTGATATCAGCAAGTAGAGAAATGCTTTTCAATTTATGCCATGTCTTTGAACTCTATGCCAATGATACTTAGTTAACTCAAGAGTTAGTTAATTTACTGAATTTGAACAGAAATATTATTGAAACTAATATGCTTTCGTGTCTCAAAGTTAAATTGACTCTTCTGAAAAAGATTAAGCAGTTTTGGTGACATGAATATAAATAGTAAAGAAAAATTACCTTTTGGTATTCTCTTCAGTTACCAGAAAACTTTTAAGTTGTTTGAAACAACTTGAGCATGTGAATTTACTTTTTCAACTATAAATTTATGTAAATTACAGATAAAATATTTCCAGTGAAAATTTAGTGCCTACATTAACACATACTGTTAAAAACAGTCTCATGACTTGTTTTTTAAAAAAGGATGTAAAATATCTCATTAATAATTTTATATTGAGTACATGCTGAAATTATAATATTTTGGATATATTGTGTTAAATATATTATTAAAATTAATCTCATCTTTTTTTTCTTTAATGTAGCAACCAGAAAATTTAAACTTACATCTGTATTTCATGTTCTGTTTCTCTTGGGAAAAAATCATACATTCCTTCAGCAGGATTTGTGTCTGAAAAGATACAGTATATATTCCTACATGTTGTATGCCAGAGATTGTTAAAGGCTTTACAAACACCTAACCTCAAAACAACTCTATGAGCCAAGTTTACTAATTAGGAAAAAAGAGGCTCAGAGATAAGTAATTTGCTCAAGGTCACACAGCTAGTAAGTAGTATGTGAAAGTTAGTCACTCAGTTGTGTCCGACTCTTTGAGACCCTATGGACTGTAGTCCACCAGGCTCCTCTGTCCATGGAATTCTCCAGGCAAGAATATTGGAGTAGGTAGCCATTCCCTTCTCCAGGGGGTCTTCCCAACCAAGGGATTGAATCCCGGTCTTCTCTGCATTGCAGGCAGGTTCTTTAGCAATAAACCACAGGAAGTAAGTAGTATAAACAGACTTTATAATCAAGGTCTGTTGCATCCTCAAACTGGAGCCTTTAATCACAACTGTGGCACCTGCCATATGTCCAATATCAGTGTTTCCATGCAGGAATCCCTTCCCTGCATTTCTCTGGAAATTTGGAATTTACATTTCTAATCCTGAATACCAAGAAAAATCAGTCAAGAAATTGAAGAAAAGGATTATAATTCTTCTGTGAGAATTAAAGATTAATAGTAATTAATAGTAATAATAGTAATTAATAATTACTTGTCAAAGGTATCCACTGACATCAAATCAAAGGCAAGAGCAGGAAACACTGACCTGTGGAGTTGAAGGCTAAGGTTGGCATTTCTGGGAACTGAGACAGGAGCCTGTAGAGGAGATATCACAGTCTCACTGGTCAGCATTGCTTGTTATAAATGTGTGTTTCTGGACACATCTGCCACTAATGATGAATCACTGCTCCACACATAATAAACATTAATGTTTCTATGTATAGTAAGCCGTAATATAAACTAGTCTTGGAAGCAAAATAATTCCTTAATTTGGCAATTTCCACACAGATTCTGTGAGGTGCTTTATTCTTGCTAGGAAATCTAGCACTATTCAAATACTACCTGATGATATTCACTGGTGTTCCTCAGTGTTTGAATATTTGCTATAAGCAATTCTTCTTTAAAAGTTTACTAAGGTACATGTGATTTATATATATATATATATATATATATATATATATATACACACACAGTACAAGTATTTTACAAAGGCTACCAAACTTAATATTTATTTATTAAACAGAAATTTTAGATATCCATCATAATGAATAAAGAGTATGGAGAATATTGCAAAGTAGTTTTACAATAACTTTTGATTTTGGTAATTACTGTGGGGCCCCAGAAATTCCAATTTTTCATTCCCAATTCCCAAAGATTGTCTTTCAGGAATTTGGAAATAGCAATAGAACCCAAGGCATCTTAGGCCCTTAAGACTGTTAAAAGAAAGAAAAAGAAAGTGATGGTTAGGATCCAGAACACGGGGATCTCTCTCTCATGGAAGTAAGAGGGAAGCAGGAGAGAACTGGATACAAAGACAAATAAATATTTAGCTGTGGAATAAGTCAGACAGAGAAAGACAAATACCTCCTGGTATAACTTACATGTGGAATCCAAAGTCAAATCCATAGAAACAGAGAGTGGCAAAGTGGTTGCCAGGGGCTGTGAGGTGGAGGAAACAGGAAGAGATGGGTCAAAGGGTACAAACTTCCTGCTAGGAGATGAGTAAACTCTGATGCACAACATGGGATTATTGTTGTTAACTCTGAATTATATAATTGAAATTTGCTGGAGAAGCAGAATTTGTGTTCACATACACACACACACACACACACACACAAAAGATAAATATATGAGGTGAGAAATGTGTTAATTAACTAAATGAGGGGAATCCTGTCACAATGTATATGTTTATCAAATCATCATCATGTACATTTTCAATAATCTACAATTTTTTGGTCAATTATACCTCAATAAGGTTGATAAATGCTTATTCAATAGTAAAACTTGCCTTTCACTTCTGAGAAAAAAAAATCTGTAAGTCTGGTTAGGAAGTTTTGATGTTTCCATGGAATGGTCTCTCTTTTCCACTGAAGTAGAGGTAGGGGTCATCTGTTGGGAGAGAGGCAGGAAGCGGCAGCAGAGGGTTCTTAGCTTTGTAAAGGTTTAAATTGCCCTTGAGGGGGATGAGCATTGTTTTGGGGATACCTAGCAAGGGGTTCGTGGATGCCTTTCCCAGCTGAGGCCCCCAGCTCTCACTAGAGAAGGGAGACAAGGCAGGCGCCCAGTGCTCCTGGACCCCAGTGATCTTCTCTGTGGACATAGAGTTACCCACAAGCGCACGCGCACACACACAGACACACACACACACACACACACACCCTCATACACACACCCAGAACTGTTGAACTGCTATGCAATGTCCCCCTGACCATGCTGTGAGCTGTCACAGAGTGGGAGGCCAGCATTCCCAAGAACACCAGGAAAGAAGTCACCGCAAACAGTATGTGAGAGGGAGCGGGAGGGGAAGACAGTCCAGGAAAGAGGGCACTTTAGATAACTGGATCTAGCGCCAGAAACGACCACCTTTGCGACCCCTCTCTTCACCCTACATTTTACCACTTCCCAACAAAACCATGCTTGTCAGCTTTCGGAGGAACCCAAACTCGGCCCCTTCTTCTCAATGAACTAAGATGCAGATGACGTGGTTTCGAACCTCAGCTGGACCACTAGCTCAGTAAGTGGCTCTTGGCTTCTCTGGGGTCCAGTGTTCCAGGTGTCCGGTGTGCTGGTGAGTGAGGCTTGGGGGCAGGACACTGTTTTGCTTGTCTCTAGTGCTATGTAAGGCTTTTTATTGCAAGGAACAGAGACTCACACAGGTTATCTCAGTTCATGAAGGCTGTTGCAGGAGTGCAGTAGCAATGAGGAAGGCAAGAGTCACAGAGGAACACAGACATGCCCATAGCTGGATCTGTGGAGCCTGGCACGGAGCTCTGCACCTGGGGGCACGTGGAGAGTCCAGGAAGCCCATTGGGGGTTAGCTGTCTACGTGCAGCAGCCCTGGTGCTCCCCTCTTACCTGTGCTGGCTTCTCTCTCTGCTTCTCCTTGGAGGCCTGCTTGCTTCTGCCCCTCATGGACCATTCAGAGAAAACCCATGTGGCTCAGCTAATCACTCATCTACATTGTTTGGATTAATCTTTTGGGCCAAGCTGCCTCATAGAACAGCTCCTCAACCCACGATCTGCTGCTCTCAGGTCAGGTGCCCACACCAACCCTGTCAGCCTCGACAGACTGTGGCCCCTGGAGCTAAGTCTCCTCCCCACAGCATCTGTGAGACCTCAGGTACCCTGTTTCCCAGGTTTCCCCAGGGTGCCACTTTAGGAGGTTAACTTCCCCCAACCCCATCCTTCATCTCCTAGTAACATTTAATTGTGTATCTGCTGGTGCCAGACTTGGAATAGGCTGGTTAACATCACCCCATGTAGTTCTCTCCACAACTCCCCAAGTTAGAGTCCCTTCATTTCAGAGACAGAAACTGAGACCCTGTTAGTAAAAGTCACCAGGATGTGAGCAGCAGAACCAGAATTAAACATTAAAACATAGTCCTACATAATTCTAAGACCTATTTTCTTTCTCTTCTGTTGTCCTTATTTTCATTTGCAATCTTTCTAGTCAATTTCTCTGTGAGAGCCTACATCCCAAAGAGTATAATCATTTATTCAAAAGAAGGGCAGCCAGGGCATGATTCTGACAGGAACCATGCCGATCGACTGCCTTCCCCAGGCAGAAGGGCACGGGCCCTCCAGCCAGCCCTCCCTCCTAGGAGAGCCTGGCCTGGCATCAAGAGAGGCTACGGCAGCAACCCCACCACACGTGCCCTTAGTGCCTCCTCCCCAGGCCAGCTGGGGCGCAGAGGAGCAGTCTGG